ACAGGAAAAAAAATATGGGAAAAACAAGTGAAATTAAAGGGTTACAAGCAGCAATACAGCCTCCTTTCCTTTTCCTCAATCAATTTTTTTGTGTTTTTGGTGGTGGGATTCATGAAAATTTTGTGAAAATGGGTTTGCTTTTGCTGGGTTTTTGGAATTGAAATTGGATTTTTTTTATTGGTGTTTTTGTTAGGTTTTTAATCAGAGCCATTGGAGTTAATGAAATTTTTTTTTTAATCTAGGTAACCTATTTAACCTATAAATCTATCATTTAACTAGATTTATTATCAAATTAGGTTTAAAAATTATGATCTCATTTATCATTACACACCGTTTTGTATTATGTTTCATGTTAGATAAAATTTATTTAATTTTTTATATTATTAAATTATTTTATTGTGTTAATATTAAAAATAACTTTTTAAAAATAAAAAAATATTATTTTAATATAATTTTTAATAAAAAATATTTTAAAAAATAACTGCTACTATATTTATAAACACTTCTAAAAATATTTTGTTGGCTTTTTTTGGGAATTTCAAGAAAAAAATATTTTTAAATGAGTGTGATTGTGCATATGTACTTCTGGAACTGAGGAGAAATAAATTAGAAAAATTCAATGTTTTTTTTAACAAAAAGCTTATTTCAAAGATTTTTTTTTCCATCATGTTATTTACAACTATTATTTCTCTCCATTGAAATATTTTTTTCATCAATTAAATATATTTTTCTTCACCACCATTATTAATTTAATATTGCAATTACAAACTAGTTATTTTTATAAGAATTAGATTTAAAATAAAAAACTCTAATAACAAAGGAGACATAAGAGGCTAGTAGAGACCTAGGACTCAAAAATAAACAAGAAGAACTCATTAATATCATGCTCTAGCTTGAATTCCATTGTCGATGGGTCATTGAGGCCTTGGCAATGAAGAATACAAATACCAAGTTAACTCTAAATTGACCATGGGATAAACTGGGACTATATGAAATAAAGTGGAGCAATTTTTAATTTATAAGAGCTAAACTAAACTAAAATTTATGTACTCTTTTTATTTTTTATAAGTCTATCATTAGTCTGTTGTATGAGATCTCACCATTAAAATTGTTAAGATCATGAGTTAGACTTATAAAATCATATAATTTTATAAATCAATAAATATTTAACTTGTGAAATCATTTTAGAAACTCAAAAATGATTGAAATCAGATTAAATCGATAAAATTTAGTGAAATCCCATAAAATCATGATTTGAGAACTATTTTTACAATTTCATCAAGAATTACATACTTCAGGCTCCAGCTTTCTAGCTCACATCAATGTGAACTTGGCTATACCTTAAAGATTATAACCTTGGCTATACCTTAAAGATTATACTTATAATATGGCGTGGCCAAGTAAAGTGGTAGAGACTATATTAGAGTTTGATATTGTAGTAACTTTTATAGTTGTAATTTAAAAAAAGTTATTTTATAAAAAATATTTTTAATTGAGGTTAATATAATATTTATATATGTTTGGTTAAAATTGAGATTAAATAAAAAATAGTTTTTAATATATTTGATTACTAATACTTTTTAAATTGAGGTTATAAAATAAGTAAAAAATACATATATTAATATTGATGGTTCTAAATTTAAATATTGTAGAATTAATTGCTATTATTGCATCATAAAATAAATAACATTTTATAGAAAATATTTTTTATTATTCCATTAAATCATTTATCATTCCATTGCGTATAAAATTCATTCGATAACAATTATAATTTTTAGAATTTTTTAAACATATAATAAAATTAGATAAAATATTATCAGGTATAAAATTAATATTACAATGCGAGTAAATTTAATTCACTCTATACTAATTTTTAAAAAAAAAATTATTAAAAACTTAATACATAAAAAAAATATTTATATAAACAATATAATTCAATAATATAAGTGACTTGTATTGTTTATTATTTTAAATGAACAATACAAGTACATTACACTGTTAACGCAACCACGACAAAAATAAAATAGAGTTGCTTTTACTACTTCTGTACTTGAAACGTAAATTTATATAAAATTTAAGTGGTTAAAATTGTGGTTAGCTATTATCCAAATAGCTTGTAAATTAAAAATACACAAAACATAGACTTTATCATGTAATCAAAGAAGGACTTATAACATGATAAGGTCAATTAAAGTTATAAAGACTATATTTACAGCAATACAGTCTCCTATCTTCTTCTCAATCAAATTTTTTGTGTTTTTGGTGGAGGGATTCATGGAAATTTTGTTAAAATGGGTTTGCGTTTGCTGGGTTTTTGAAATTGGAATTGGATTTTCTTTATTAGTGTTTTTGTTAGGTTTTTAATCGGAGTCATTTGTGAGGAGTTGGTAAAAATGTTTTTTTTTATCTAGATGAACTCATTTCACCCATGCATCTATCATTAAACCAAGTTAATTATCAAATTAGGTTTAAAAATTATGATATCATTTATCATTATACACCCTTTTGTATTATGTTTCATGTTGGATAAAATTTATTTAATTTTTTATATTGTTAAATTATTTTGTTATGTTAATATTAAAAATAACTTTTTAAAAATAAAGAATTATGATTTTAATATAATTTTTAATAAAAAATATTTTAAAAAATAATCGCTACCATATTTATAAATACTTCTAAAAATATTTTGTTGGCTTTCTTTTTGAATTTTAAAAAAATAATATTTCAAATGAGTGTGACTGTACATATGTACTTATGCAATAGAGGAGAAATAAATTAGAAAAATTCAATGATTTTTTAACAGAAAGCTTATTTCAAAGATTTTTTTTCCATCATGTTATTTATAACTATTATTTCTCTCCATTGAAATATTTTTTTCTTCACCATCACTATTAATTTAATATTGCAATTACAAACTAGCTATTTTTATAAGAATTAGATTTTAACAAAAAAAAAAAAAAACTCTGATACCAAAGCAGACATGAGAGGCTGGTAGAGACCTAGGACTCAAAAAAAAGAAGAAGAACTCATTAATATTATGCTCCAGCTTGAATTCCATTGTCGATGGTCATTGAGGCCTTGGCAATGAAGAATACAAATACCAAGTTAACCCTAAATTGAACATGGGGTAAATTGGGACTATATGAAATGAAGTGGAGCAATTTTTAATCTATAAGGGCTAAACTAAACTAAAATTTATATATTTTTTTATCTTTTATAAATCTTTTATGACGCTCATTGTATGAGATTTTACCGATAAAATTGTTAAAATCACGAATTAACTTGTAAAATTATATAATTTTATAAATTAATAAATGCTTAACTTGTGAAATCATTTTAGAAACTCGAAAATGATTGAAATCAGATTAAATTGATAAAATTAAGTGAAATCCCATAAAATCATGATTTTAGAACTATTTTTATGATTTTATCAAGAATTACATACTTCGGCTCTAGTCCTCTAGCTCACATCAGCATGAGCTTGGCTGTACTTTAAAGATTATACTTATAGTATGACGTGACCAAGTAAAGTGGTAGAGACTATATTAGTGTTTGGTATTGTAGTAACTTTTATAGTTGTAATGTGAAAAAAGTTAATTTATAAAAAATATTTTTAATTGAGGTTAATATAATATTTACATATGTTTGGTTAAAACTATGGTTAAAATTAAGATTAAATAAAAAATAGTTTTTAATATATTTGGTTACTAATACTTTTAAAATTGAGGTTATAAAATAAGTTAAAAATATGTATATTAATATTGGTTTTAAATTTAAATATTGTAGAATTAATTACTATTATTGCATCATGAAATAAATAATACTTTATATAAAATATTTTTTATTATTCCATTAAATCATTTATCATTCCATTATATATAAAATTCATCCGATAACAACTACAATTTTTATAATTTTTTAAGTATGTAATAAAATTAGATAAAATATTATCAGGTATAAAATTGATACTATAATACGAGTGAATTTAATTCACTTTATATAAATTTTTTAGAAGAAAAAATATTGTTCACGTCACAATATAAGTGAATTTAATTCATTCTAAATTAATTTTTTTAAAAAAATTATTAAAAACTTAATACACTAAAAAAACTATTCACGTAAATAATGCAATTTACTTATGACAGTACAAGTAACTTGTATTATTTATTATTTTAAATGAACAATATAAATATATTGCACGGTTCATATAGCCCCGACAAAAATAAGATAGAGTTGCTTTTACTACTTATGTATTTGAAATATAAATTTATATAAAATTTAAATGGTTAAAATTATGGTTAACTATTAACCAAATAGCTTATCACGTAATCAAAGAGGGACTTATAACAAGATGTGGTCAATTAAAGTTATAAAGACTATATTTATAGAATGACGTGATCAAGTAAAGTTTTCATAATCACTTATATTAATAGGTATTTGGCAATTGACATAATTTTTTGTTTGTGTTTTTAGATTTTTTTTAAATATTTTTAACATCAAAGAATATTTTTATATTTGATATATTATTGTTAAAAGTTAATATATTAATATAAAAATATTTTAATATATTATTAAATAAAATATTTAATCTATTTAGAAGTGGGGTGGAGATTATTGTTTTTTAAAATATTTTTTATTAAAAAATATTAAAATAATATATTTTTTTTTATTTTTTAAAATTTATTTTTGATATCAACATATTAAAATAATTTAAATTATAAAAAATAATTTAAAAAATAATCTATAGTTTTTTTTAAATATAAAAATAACTTTTTATGATTTTATAATTTCACAATTTATTTTTACAATTTAAATTTATTTTATATTTTTATACCGTGTTAAAAATATCTTGCCGACAACAGTATCCGGAGGAAGGGTTTTTAACTTTTTATCCTTATTATCATTAACAATAAATAACTACTTAGTCATCCTCTCAATAATTTCTTATAAAAGAATGTTTTTTTATTTAAGAAAAAAATCAAAATTAATCAGATCTCTAAGCTTGCTCGTTTTGACCCCTCCCCTCTCCCCCCATCTCTCTTCTCTCTCGCTGTGTACCAGAGCCAGATAAAAAAAAGGTACGTCTCCATTTCAGATCCAAAATTCTCATTTCTCTCCTTTCACTATCATTTCATAAATAAATCAATAAACTAATAATAATCTCTCATCTATTTTTTACTGATAGAATCGGCTGCAGAGAATTGGAATTTTCGTTTTTTATGCTCTTCAATATTTCAATCTAGTTGGTTGGTTAGTTAGTGTGGTTGGGTTTTGATGCTGAGCAGTGAGTGAGTGAGTGAGTTATTTCGGTGCCTCTGATTGATTAAGCTTTGTTTGTTTGCTGGCTAAGAAAACGTAGGGAAGTTTTGGATATTTTATTAGTTTTTTATATTTATTGATCCGTTCCTGCTGTGGATTTCAAATTTTGAACTTGAAAAGCTTTTTTTTAAAAAAAGAAATTTAGGCTAAATGGTATTTATGTGCTGAATGTTAATGACGTTTCTGTTTTTTATATGGAAATTAGTTTTGCGGATTTTGATTAATGTATTGGAATTAATTTGATTTTTTTTTTTTTTGTGAATGAAGGTTGATAATGGGTTTAGAAACAAACAATCACGATATGGAGGAGGGAACGCTCGAGATCGGCATGGGTAAGTTTTGCACATTCTTCTACCTATTATATTTGTGCAGTGTTGTTCGATGGTAATAAATAACAAATTTGGTTCGGAGATATCATGTGAATTGTAATGGAATTGAAACTGATAATGGACTGGTGAAATATATAAAAATGTTCGGAATGGGAGGAAATTGGTTAGGAAGATACAGATTTTTTGTTTAATTTAATTTTGCCAAGTGTTTTAAGGGCGATAATCGAGGTGGTATGGGGTTGCTTTCATGAGCTTAAATTTTTTGTTTGATGTATTACAGAGTATAGAACTGTTTCTGGAGTTGCTGGACCTCTTGTTATACTTGAAAAAGTGAAGGTAAATACTCCTGTTTTCTTGATTGAAATAATCAGGATAATTTGTTTGTTTTATTAAACACTATGGTGCTGCTTCCTTTTTTTTTTTTGATTGGTGCATTGTTTGATTCACTGTGTTAGGGACCCAAATATCAAGAGATTGTTAATATTCGTTTGGGAGATGGATCAACCAGACGTGGTCAAGTCTTGGAAGTTGATGGGGAGAAAGCTGTTGTTCAGGTGATTACTATTCAGCATTCTCCTTCTTTTTTCTGTGTCTGCAGGTTGGATATGAGTTGGTTTCTTTCCTGGTTAAAGTAAATTGCTTAACTTAAAGTTTGTGACTTGGTCGTGCATGTCTAATTGTAGAAGGATTTGTTATAAATTGAGTTGCTTCAAGATGATGCTTTTAGCTTAATTTGTAGTGGATCTTTTCTTTGGGTCAGCTACTCATAATGAATCTTTAATCAGTTGTGGTGTGAAAAAAAGTGCTCCTGTTTTAAAGTCTGAATGCATTTTTTACATGGTATTTTGTTGGCCAGGTTTTTGAAGGAACCTCTGGCATTGACAACAAGTTTACAACTGTGCAATTTACTGGAGAGGTATGAAGTCTTATTTATTATTATTTTATTTTAAAAAAGTTCTTAATTTTTCATATCAAAGAAACAATTGCAGTTGCTCATGCTAATGAACCTTGAACTTGTTAAACGTTGCAAATTAAATGTTGGAGATTTTAGTAGGTACTTTGAGCTGCTTAAACTATCTTCACGCTAATGTGTTTGCATGCCAGCAAACAAACTTTTACCAGAGAATTAGATCTCATTTTGCTAGAAATTCAATTATAACTTGTTCTTCTGGGAAAAATCTGCAGAAAATAGCTTCTGAGGTGAAAATATAAGTAGAGAATGAATTGCATTTATATCTTAAAGAAACATGGCTGAGCCTTACCACTGAGGCAAGTACATAAATTCATGTATTTCATAATTTTCAGCAGGTTAGGAGTTAGGACTTGTAAATTTCAAGGATAAAGTTCAAGTTGATATTAATATTTGATTTTTTTTTTCCTGATGTGGAATATTGCTAGTGCTGGATTTTAGTATATGCCTCTTAAGTCATTACTAATAGAGAAGTTAGTGTATGGCCATTTACATCTTTGCATTATGTAACCCTTTAAATTTTAAATTTTAAATTTTATCATAGAAGCCTCCTTGGAGTCTAGGTCTACTCTATTGATACACTTACTTTCCCTGGCCTTTTTTGTAGGTTTTGAAAACTCCAGTCTCATTGGACATGCTTGGCCGCATTTTTAATGGTTCTGGGAAGCCTATTGATAATGGTCCTCCTATTTTGCCTGAAGCTTATTTGGATATATCTGGTAGGCTATCTTTTGAAGTGAACAGTCTTTATTAATATATGTTGCTTGCTGACACTTTTAGAGTTAATAATATTAACGGCCCTTCACTATATGTTATGCCTTCTGCAGGGAGTTCAATCAACCCTAGTGAAAGAACCTATCCTGAGGAGATGATTCAGACAGGGATTTCGACAATTGATGTCATGAATTCTATTGCTAGAGGACAGAAGATCCCTCTGTTTTCTGCTGCTGGTCTTCCCCATAATGAAATAGCTGCTCAAATATGTCGCCAAGCAGGTTTGGTAAAGCGATTGGAGAAGTCTGAAAATCTTCTTGAGGTAACATCCACACTTTATTGCACAGTTATAATTAGACTCACAATCCTGTTCCTGCTAAGTGAAATAACTATTACATTCATGGTTGAATAATGTTCCTGTATAATGGAGCCTTGACAGTATATTCTTTTGAGACATTGTAATAAATAAAACATATTTTCAAATGGAGATAGTAGCATCATCATCAGAAGTTAAATTTAATGTGTACTGCAATTATATCACACTTCAAAATTACTTCAAAAGCTCTTTTGCTGTTGAGTTATCAATATTAGTTGAATTCCTTGATTTTTTAAGTGCCAAATCAAATTGCATGTGCAGTATTACTTCAATTCCCTAGTTTCTTTTGCCTTGAAATAGGAGCTTGTTGTTACTCACGTAGTTGTTTGGTTGACATTTCTTTCTCAGCTCTTTTTAACTAAATTTTGTAATTAGGTTACTAACTTGCCATGTGAACTTTCAGGGTGGGGAGGAGGAAAATTTTGCCATTGTATTCGCAGCTATGGGTGTAAACATGGAAACTGCACAATTTTTCAAACGTGATTTTGAGGAAAATGGGTCAATGGAAAGAGTGACCCTCTTTCTAAACTTGGTAAAGTTTTGCTTTGACATTTGAACCTTGTTTTTGTTGTATTCTTGAACATGTAGTTTTTTTGTGGCTGAAGGTTGTAATTTATTATCTTGTACCATTCATGAATTCTTTCTGAAATTTGATTCTCTTAATGTGTCACAGGCAAATGATCCTACAATTGAACGTATTATCACACCTCGTATTGCTCTTACAACTGCAGAATATTTGGCATATGAATGTGGGAAGCATGTTCTTGTCATATTAACAGATATGAGTTCTTATGCTGATGCTCTTCGTGAGGTGAGTTAAAGCAACATATGTGAGAATGTATCTTACTGAGTTTGTACATACATTAGAAGCATTTACTTGCATGCATAAATATCTATTGTTATATTTTTTTGTGGGTCTATTGCTCAATACATTTAGCTTGTTTCTGGAGTATTAATTGTCAGCTGTTCAGTTTGTTTGAAATTCAGACAGTTAACTGTTTAAATTATAATATTACCAGGGACATTATGAGATATTCAAGTTTCATGTTATTGTGTTTGTGTGACAAAAACTATTGATTGCCAATCCAGGTGTCTGCTGCCCGAGAAGAAGTACCTGGAAGGCGTGGTTATCCGGGATATATGTACACTGATTTGGCAACAATATATGAGCGTGCTGGTCGTATTGAAGGGAGAACAGGCTCCATCACCCAAATTCCAATTTTGACTATGCCAAATGACGGTAATGTATTCTCAGACCACACTGAATATCCTGTATTTCTTTCCTTGAACAAGAACACTTTCTTTAACTTGATTTTCTTATTTGACCAGATATAACTCATCCCACCCCTGATCTTACTGGATACATCACAGAGGGACAGATTTATGTTGACAGGCAGCTACAAAATAGGCAGGCAAGTTCAGAGGGCACATGATGGATCATTTCTCTTAGCTGTCTTACAACATGTCATGGGTCCTAGGTAACTTAGATTTCTCCATGTAGGAGCTTTTGATTGAATGTTGACCCATTTTGATTGGCAGATTTATCCTCCTATCAATGTCCTCCCATCTCTGTCTCGTCTCATGAAGGTAAGGATGAATCTTCTCTGAATTCTCAATGCATCAAAGATTCAAATGCTAGATGGTTCATAACCAATTAGAAGGTACGAGGCATATTATAAATTGTGTCATTGATTACCATTGTAGAGTGCCATTGGTGAGGGAATGACTCGCAAGGACCATTCTGATGTGTCCAACCAGGTCTGATTTGTTAACCATTGTTGCTTGGTTTTTAGTTTATTGTCCCATTTTAAGCTGTCTAACCTTTGATTTTATTCAAAACTTCTTTATCTCTCAGCTGTATGCAAACTATGCTATTGGGAAGGATGTTCAGGCCATGAAAGCAGTGGTTGGAGAAGAAGCTCTTTCTTCTGAAGATCTGGTCATTACACTCCCCTGTTCTCACACAGTTTTGCTGCTATGTTTGTAATTATTTGATTTACGGGAACTAACATGTGCTCTTCAATAAACAGCTATATTTAGAGTTCTTGGACAAATTTGAGAGGAAATTCGTTGCTCAAGGAGCTTATGACACCCGCAATGTCTTCCAGTCACTTGATTTGGCATGGACTCTGCTTCGCATCTTTCCCCGTGAGCTACTCCACCGTATACCTGCTAAGACCCTTGACCAGTTCTACAGCCGAGATGCAGCTAATTGAGAAAAGAAGTTTGTAGTCTTTTGATTATTTTCTTTCTATGAGCTATAAGAAGTTGATCTGTCCAAAGTTCCTTTTCTTCATAAATAATAAGGTAGTGTGCCCATTTGGGTCACGAATTTGAAGGTGTCCGGCTCGTCGAAAGACCAAAAAAATTGAGGACTGTGCTACCTTGTAATTTATTTATTAGCTGGTCATGATGATACCTCTTACCCAGTCGTGGGACTTATAGTAAAGTTAGGGCCTGGCCTTATGTGATGCTTGTTGTTTTGCCTTTTTTTCAATTTATTTATTTTGTAAGCCGATCTTTATATATAGATACATATAGAGGAAATCTAGCGTTTTATTTATCTATTTCAACATTTTTTTTTCAAACAAAGCACAAGCCAATAATTTCATGCTCCCGTGATTCCTCTTTCCTGGTTCAGCAGCATCTTATGATTAATGTTACAATTAACAAAGTTCGCGGATGTATGGTTTTCTTAATTTGGGATTTAACCCATAAAATGGATACCATCTGGCGGCAAGATGGACGTTGTTCAAGCAATATATTTTTAGGTTTTATTTATTTGTTGAAAAGTTATTTTTTTAGAAAAGTTATTTTTTAAAAAAAATAAATTCTTGAAAAGTGAATTATTTTTTTATTGTTGATAGTATTATAAAAAATAAATTGAAAAATATTTTTCAGTGTTGATTATGTTACGGAAAATAAACTGGAAAATAATTTATTAATATAAAAATAAGGATTAAAGTTAATATAAAAATTAAATTTTAAGAAATGAAATTGAAAAATAAATATTCAAAACAATATATATATATATATAGCAATCAAAAGTTTAAGGATCAACTTTGATATAATCATCAAATAATAACATTTCTAATTTTTTTATAATTTTCTAATTTTTTTATAATTTTCGGGAAACGTTTTCCATCTAAATTTTTCAGAAAAACATTTTCATGAAAACCAAGCCAAATTTTTCTTGAATTGAAAAGTATTTTCCGTTGATTAACTTTCTTAATGGCAAACAAACACAAGAAAATTTAAAAAATAATTTCTTGAAAATCATTTTATGAAAAATAAACACAGCCAAAAAGAAAAATATTTTTTTGAAAACTAAGCCAAATTTTTCTTTGATTGAAAAATATTTTTCGTTCACCAAAAAGTATTTTTTGATGACTGGAAAGTGTTTTTCGTTTACCGGAAAATATTTTTTATTAACCAATTTTTTTAAATACAAAAAAATTTTAAAAATAATTTTTTAAAAATTAGTTTTTAGAAAATAAATATGACTACTTTTTCAGAAAATAGACATAACCTTAATTTATTATCCATTTCAGATTTTGTTATACATTATGTGCCCTTGCAAAGTCATTTAGCAGACAAGCCTTGGAAGTGAGCATGAACATCTGCTTTCACTTGACCGCTCCTCCATCGTACTGCCACTGGTAAAGCTTTCTCACAACGGCACGCTACACATCTCGCGTCCTCAACTCCCTTGACACGTAGCCATGCTGCTCGCAGTCTCAAATCCAAGCCATGTGTGATCCTACCGTCTGCGCACATCACACTATGGGTTCCCGCGCGCATGCTTCAAACTGACAGGAATGATCCATTGGACTCTTTAGGACCGTAATCAATCATGGTAAAAACAAAGGGAACAGAAACTCGTACACAGCTCTTAGCTCTAGGCTGAAAGGGAAATGCCAAGGGAGCCATCGGCAGAAGGATCATTCGTCTAAAAGCGAGGCTTAAAAAAGGACAGTAAAAAGAAATCCAAGAGCAAGGTATTGCTTGATGATAATGTCTTTAATATGGAAAAGTTTATTAAAAGAAGCTGGCAGGACACAAACCATGAACAACAAAACAATCTTTCAAAAGGTGTTCAGGCTTTTTTCAGAGTGGTTTCAAAAGGTAATCAGATTTCTAGATCCTACAGGATACAAAAATTACGCACCCGACATTTCCTCTTCTTTCGCAGATATTGTACAGAACTGGGCTAGGCATTGGTTTTCTTTCTCCAGTAATGTATTAGGGGCTAATTAATAAAAGAGATCAATAGTGTTAAAAGTGGTCAGATGGATTAACTTCAGCCTGCTTTTGATGTTCTTGCTACTTTTGGCAGTACAACTGAACTGAGATCCCCAGGATAAGGAGTCCACAGGCCTAACCCGCCTCTGCTCTCCTTCATACTGCTACCGTTCCCCTTGAATTCGCTTATACTTTTTACCCACTCTACTTTGGATGAATGCTCTCGGGTGTGTGGATGCAACACGAACAGTGAGTTGTACTCACAATTTGGAAACATGAAGAACTTGAATGCACCTCCTAATCTGTAAACAACATAGCCAAAACTCAATTGGTCTCTTGGTGTGAAGAGGTTGACCTCGTTAAACCACAAGCAGCTAAACAGGTTACTCATAGCTGTATGTTCCCGTATGATAATAGCTCCCTCTGGCACATCTGCATTTACCGGCATCAATAAATAGACGAGAAAAATTTATGCAAATCACCATGATTATCACTTTTACAGCCATCTGGGCGCTAATTTGCTCCTATGTAAAATGTTATAACTTGCAAGTGAACTAGCAATCATATGAACACGTTTCACCCCAAAAACCTAGGAAGTGCAACAAAATAAAGGATTAAGGAGGTCGTGATTTCTCTTCTTACCACTAACACTGCTTTTCTTCGGACTCCAGGACTCCATTCCCTCATAATAATATATTTTCATATGGAGATCAATGAGGGGTCGGGCATAACGTTTCCTCTGCTTATTTGCATCAGCCTCCTCATATATGCTTCGATGATGTTTGTGCTGAGCAATGGCAAATGTATTCTTCCCATGCCATAAGTATCTGCAGATCAAAGGCCATTCAAATTACCTGCTACCAATTCCTTTTATGTTCACAGACAGAAACATGTGCTTGTGCACATGCACGCGCGTGCTTGTGTCAATGATAGCAGCGAAGCAAAGGGATCATAGTCATGCCCATAACCCTTGTCAGCAAGAGTTTATCTTCAAAGGTTATTTAACAGACAACATACATTTCACTCATGCTGTAAGATAGCACTATAACAAAAGAAACGCTAACCTTCAAGTTTTAAGTTCATTTACTTTTCATCTCCACCATTGTGATTAAAATGACAGGACTAAAAGACATGACCTGTAAATTAACCATGCAAGGAAGTACCTTTCTAGAATTTGTAATGGATCAACAAGCAACTCCATTTTACCATCAATCCAGATACTGTACCGTGCTTGAGGAAATAATCTGTGGGTTAAAATCTTGGGAACTTTCCCATTCCTTCTAGGCTCGTCATAAGGTGAATGCTTCAGCAGAATAAGACGCCAAATACCGACCCATAGTCCCCTGCTATGGTCCTCCCTGACAGTAACATTTTCCTTTATGAAATCAAGAGAGATCTCATCCACCACCATGAGAAAACAAAAGAGTTTCTTAGAACGGTCGCTTATATTTGAAGGCTGGTGAGGTACATCATATCCGTCGAAAATTCCAGATGCAACCACAAACCTACAGTTCTTGACATATTCAACATCTACAAGATCCATGTCTGCACCACCATTGTGCATAAATCCACAATGCACCTGAAAGGCAGAATGCAAATTTAAAAATAAGAAACAGAATTAAATTCACTGAAGGACAGCCATAAGTAACAGAAGATTTCAACTTCCAGTCTTCCACTAATTGTGAAAAGGTGATTCACATAATATCCAAAAACATCCAATTCCCTCCATCATCATTTAATAGAAATAAATTACCTCGAAGATTAATTTGCTATTGTCAGGAATAAAGAACTAAACTCACAACAAAATTGACTTTACAATGAGTGTTTATGTATGTACCTTCATGGAAGAGCTTAAATTAAAACTCTTCTCTCTTTGTTTCCAGCTTTGATGTCCTCCAAATAATGGGGATGACTGAGACCCATAATCATCCTCCATAACATAGGAAATGTTTTTAACAATTTGGTCATGAGTTCTTCCCTCCGGAATAACTATTCTTTCAGGGTTACCGATAACAGGGATCGGACAACCTAAAGATTCAGAGGCAAGTAGTGTCAATTATAACAACCACATAGCGATCAACACTTCAAGGAACAGATGTTACTATAATTCTTACGATGTTGCTGCGGCACAAATCCCCACGTGTTTAAAAAGTTATATACCTTGCTTTCTTTATTACAGATAACTGCATGCCAAACATAACCATCATATCAAACCACATAACACAAATTTGTATAACGCATATACCAGGATTGCATCATCATGTTCACATAAACAGTTGGCAAAAACAATACAGATATCCCATGCAATTCTTGAACAAGGTGTCACTCCTATAATGGGAAACTTTGCATCTACCAATTTCTTGAATTGCCCAGATTGTTAGAATCCAAGAAAAAACAAGTCATCTTATCACTAACCTCGCATAAGCGCGCGAATCACAATGAGTAAATACACAAACAAACGAGTAGCGGGACTTAAAAATGTTGGTAAAACATTTACCTGAAAAGAATACAGAAGAAGACTGACAAGACCAAACATGAAATGATAAGACACCAAGAATGAGTAACATCCAAAGAATGCCGGCAACAAGAACCAAGCGAACAAATCCTCTCTTGCAAATTATCTTCATAGGATAATCACTTGGCAACTTCCCAGCACTAAAAAAACCTCCACCATCTGTTTCACCATAACACCACCATCAGACTGGACTGAAACAAAAACACAAAACCCATTACTGCCAAAATCACAAAGAACACAAACCCATGTGATTAAATAGTCATTACCTTTAGAATTATTTGATGGTGTTTGATTATTATCGTTGTTGCTACGGTAGTCTCCACCTCTCCGGTTCAACCTTAAAGAAACGGACCGTTGCCCATCACTCTCCATAAGATTATTATTAATATTCACTGAATTGATCCCTCTTTCTTCAAGAAAATGAGTTCCAAAAACTTGATAAAAATCTTGAAATTAATAAAAAGATTGCCGGTAAATCACAATGACTGGCAGATCTGGGAAGTATAAGTAAAGAACGAAGCGCGGTGAAATTAATCTATCTACCAATTATTTAGAACGTATTAACGTAAATGTTTCGTCTTATTCCCTTTTTTTTCCTTGTAGAAAGCTGCTTGTAGTTGCAATGGGCTGGTTTCTTGATTTGTAGTGACAGATGGCCTAAATGTTATGACTTGGACCTATTTTTCTCCACCCTGGGAGTTTGGACCCGTGGTT